CCCAGTCATGTTCAAGCAAGGTGTTGTTCAGCTTCCAAATGTATGGTTTTTTCTCCTTTATCATCCTATTATTAATTTCTAATTTTGTGGCATTATAGTACCATGCTGTCTTAACCACCACAGCAGTGTAGTAGGATTTGAAATCAGGGAGTGAGATGCCCCCTACCTTGTTTCTTTTTTTCAGGAGTACTTTGATTATTTGGGGCCTCTTTCCATTCCAAATGAAACTGGAGATTGCCTTTTCCATCTCGTTGAAGAATGGAAATGGTATTTGTATTGGGATTGCATTGAACCTGTAAATTGCCTTTGGTAGTATTGCCATTTTTACAATATTGAGTCTTCCTGTCCATGAGCAAGGGATATTCTTCCACTTCTCCAGGTCTCTTTTTCTTTCTTGTAGTAATGTTTTGTCATTTTCTTTGAATAGATCCTTTGTGCTTCTGGTTAGATTTGCTCCCAAGTAATTAGTCTTGTGATTGGCTATTGTGAAGAGCTTTGTTTTTCTTAGCTCCAGTTCTGTATTCTCTTTATCACTGTAAAGAAATCGAGCTGAGTTTTGTATGTTGATCTTGTATCTTCCACTTTGCTGAATTGGTCAACTCTGTGCAGTAGTTTTCTTGCTGAGTCTTTAGGATTTTCTAAGTATACTATCATATCATCTGCATATAGAGATATTTTTACCTCCTCTTTGCCAATTTGGATACCTTTTACTTCCTTCTCTTGCCTTATTGCTATCGCTAAGACTTCCTATACAGTATTGAAATAGGAGAGGTGATGGTGGGCATCCTGGCCTAGTTCCTGTTCTCAAGGAGAATACCTTTAATTTCTCTCCATTGAGAACAATGTTGGCTCTTGGATTTGTGTATATACTTTTAACTATGTTGAAGAAATTCCCCTCTAATCCTATTTTGTTGAGTGTTTATACAGGAAAGGGTGTTGGAGTTTGTCAAAAGCCTTTTCTGCATCAATTGATAGGATCATGTGGTTCTTGTTCTTCACTTTGTTAATGTGATGAATTACACTGATTGTTTTTCTTGTGTTGAACCATCCCTCCATACCTGTTATGAATCCCACTTGGTCATGGTACATTACTTTTTTGAGGTATCATTGCATTCTATTGGCCACGATTTTACTCAGGATTTTTGCATCAATATTCATGAGAAATACTGGCCTATAGTTTTCTATTTTGGTGGTGTCTTTACCTGGCTTTGGTATCAAGGATATGTTTCCTTCATAGAATGAGTCTCTCTTTCTATTTTCTGAAATAGTTTATGTAGAATTGGTGACAGACCTTCTCTGAATGTTTGATCAAGTTCACTTGTGAAACCATCTGGTCCAGGACTTTTTTTTTTGGCTGGAAGTTTTATTACCGTTTCAATTTCTTCTTTTTTAATGGGTCTGTTCAGGTGTTCAATTTCGGTTGGTGTCAGTTTAGGTAGGTTGTGAATTTCTATGTATTTGTCCATTTCCTCTAGGTTTTCATATTTGAGTATAATTTTTCAATAATATTCCAATGTTAGCCTTTTTATTTTAGTTGATTCTGTTGTGACATTGCCCATTTCATCTCTTATTCAGATTATTTGTGTCTTTTCCTTCTTTTTCTTTGTGAGTTTTGCTAGTGGTTTGTCAATTTTATTGACATTTTCTAAGAACCAACTCCTACTTTTGTTGATGGTTTCAATTGTTTTTCTGTTTTCTATTTCATTTATTTCTGGTCTAAGTTTTATAGTATCAGAGTTCTTTCAGAGGGTGTTGGGTTTTCTTGCTGTTCTTTTTCAGTTTGTTGGAGACGTTGGGTTAGAGAGTGATTTTGAGCATTTCTTCATGTGTCAGTTGACCATCCAAATGTCTTCCTCTGTGAAAAGTCCATGTCTTTTGCACATTTTGTAATTGGATTATCAGTCTTTTTCTTGTAGAGGCCCCGTAGTATTTTTTAAACTTTGGTTATGAGACCTTTGTCTGAGATGGCTGTTACCAAGTGTTTTTTCACAGTTGATAGGTTTTTCTCTCCACTCTATTGGAATGTTTTTGATACACACGGGGACTTAATCTTTAGAATCTCCCATTCATTGATGTGATCCTGGTTGTGCACATTTTCATAAATTTTTTTATCAAGCTGATTCTAAATTAATAATATACCTATTTCTTAGTGCCAGTTCAGCCTGTTGAGCTAAAAGAAAAGTAACATGGTATGGAGAGAGGTGGGGGGTTTTGTTTTATTTTTGAGGTAAAAGACTAAATGTAAGTCCTACATGTTTTACCTGCAAGATCTTGGCGGAAATGATGTAACCTTTCTAAAGCTCCATTTTTCTATATGAAGAAAATATGAGGCTTCTGAAAGATTCCAAGGTTGAAGGGAAGAAGTAAAAGGCAATGAAGGTGGTGCCATGATTAAAGTGCTTGACTGTTAACCATATGTTGACAGTTTGAACCCACCAGCTGTCCCATAGGAGAAAAATGTAGCCTGCTTTTATATCTGTTGTTATTGTATGCTTTTGAGTCAGTTGTGACTCTGTGAACAATGGATCAGAACACTGCCCTATCCTGTGACATCCTCAGTATCTCTGACACTGAGCCCATTGTTAAAGTCGCTGTATCAGTCCATCTTGATGAACTTCTCTCTTACACCGACCTCTGCAAACATGATGTTCTTCTCCAAGGACTGGTACCTCCTAACAAAATGCTCAAAATAAATGAAATGGAGTTTGACCATCCTTGACTCCAAGGAGCACCCTGGTTTCACTTTCTCCAGGGCAGACCTGTTCTCTTAACACCAGTTCCATGGCTGAGAGGTACTGATTCTTCTGTCACCCTTAATCATTGGCCCACTTTCAGATACATAGCAAGCAAGTGAAGAGACCATGGTCTGACTCAGGCACACCTTACTCTTTAAATTGAAATCATTGCTCCTCACTAATTTGGAGAGGTCCCTTTAATTTCTTGACTGCCGGTACCAAGGGTGTTTATCGTGGATCCAACCAAGATGAAATTGTTGATAACTTCAGCCTTCTCTCCATCTATCATAATGTTACTTATTGGCCAGATGGTGAGGATTTTTGTTTCCTTGATGTTGAAATACAATCCGTATTGAAGGTTTTAGTGCTTGATCCTCTCCAGCAAACACTCCAACTCCTTCTTTTTTTTTTTTTTGCTAACTTTGTGTGGTGTCATCTGTATAACACAGGTGCTGATGAGTTTTCCTCCAATCTTGATGCCACATTTTTCTTTATACTGTCTGACTACTCAACGGATTTGTTCAGTATACATATTGAATAGGTATGGAGAAAGAATACAGCCCTGACATACACACTTTTCCTTGATCACTGCAGTGTTCCCTTGCTCTGTTGAGCAAGTCCTTCTTATTATTAATCTTTTTTTCCTTTTTTTGGTAGTATTACACTTTATTGACAGGCTTTATTTACTGTGTTCTGTTTTAAGGATCTAAGCAGTCTTCTAAGTAATTTTATAATCATTAAATGTTTATGATAGAAATATGAATAAACCCTGGATATAGATAAAATATGGGTACATTCTTGGACTCTTTCTTCTCTTTATTTATTTTCAATTAGTCTGCTGCCAGAGACCTCTCCAAAATACTGAAGAACAGTGATGTCAGTCTGGAGACAAAGGTGCACCTGATACAGGCCATGGTCTTTGCAATCACTTGCTATGCATCAAAGAGCTGGATAATGACTAGGAATGATAGAAGAATTGATGCCTTTGAGCTGTGATGTTGGAGAAGAGTATTGAATATACCATGGACTGCGTAGAGAACAAACAGGTCTTCTTGGAGAGGGTAAAACCAGGCTGTTCCTTGGAGGAAAGGATTCTGAACCTTCATCTGACATATTTTGGACACGTTGCAAGGAGGGACCGGTCCTTGGAGAGGACATCATGCTTGGGAGAGTGGTGGGACAGCACAGAAAAGGAAGACCCTCGATGAGATAGATTGATTCAGTGACTAGGGTATTGGCACAGGGTAGAGCAGAGCTTAGGGCTATTTTATATAGGGTCACTATGAGTCGCAGCTTGAACTTCTTCCTTCATCACCATAGGCTCTTGCTCAAATGTTATTTCATTAAATTCTTCTGTATCTG